TATAAAGTGGCCATCTTTATCTTTGTTTACTTTTGTTGGTTTAAAACCTATCGTGTCTGCAAATAAAATTGCAACACCTGCTTTTTTCTGCTTTCCATTAGCCTGGAATATAGATGACCATCCCATCACCCTGAGTCTATATTTGTCTCGCTGCTTTCGAGATTTTCTCTTAAAAAAAAAAAAAAGATTTTCTCTTTCATATTAACTTTAGTGAAGTTAATTATGATGTGTCTGGGGGATGTCTTATTCAGATTGAGTCGTTCTGGGGTTCTGAAGCTGTTTGCAATCTGAATTTCAGGATCTCTTGACATATCTGGAAAGTTCTCTTTCATAATTTCATAAAGAAGAGCCTCTGTGTTTTGCAAAGCAATTTTGTCACCTTCAGGGATTCCTATAAGGTGAATATTAGTTTTCTTCAAATTATTCCAGAGCTCTCTGAAAGAATGATCCATTTTTGCTTTCCATTTCTGATTATCTTTGGATGTTTGGACATATTCAGAAGCTTTGTCTTCTACGTCTGAGATCATTTCTTCTGCCTCCTGCACTCTGTTACCAAGAGATTCTACTGTATTTTTCAGATCTTTGAGGGCTGCAATCTCTTGCCTTAATGTTTCAGAATCTTTGGTGGTTTTGTCTTTGAATTCATTGAATTCTTGAGTGAACTTTCGGAATGCTCCTTGAATTTCTAGTTCTATCTTTGCCTCTATTCTGTTTATCTTATTTGCAACCCAGATTCTGAATTCAATTTCTGACATTTCAGCTAGTTTTTTATAAAAGGGATCTTCAGTTTCATTTGCCACATCCTTTCTTGGGGTGGGGGGTGACCTACTCTGGTTGTTCATATTACCAGCCACATCCTTTCTTGGGGAGTTTGATCTACTCTGGTTTTTCATATTACCAGAGCTTTTCCGCTAATTCCAGCCCAGGATTATTTTACCCCGTTTGACTTTTCCCATTGAAGTTTGTCAAGGACCTATATGGTGTTATGTCCTGGGAGACTGGGGACCTGTTTGGTGTGGTGGGGCTAAGTGGCTCTGTCTTATTTTCAGCTGGTCTCTGTCCTACCCTAGTGATTCAGTTACTCTTGGTTGAAGTCTCTGCTGTGGAGAAATACCAGCAATTAAGTCACCCCGCCCCCCACAAACAACAATTGGGCAAGAAATATCAAACCTTCCCTCAACCATATACCCAGGGTGCCCCTTTGCATAGTCCCTGGGTGGTCTGCCTGGTTTAAGGGGTCCAAATCAGATGTCCCAGTCAGCACCAGTTTCAGGTGGAAGAGTTCAATTGTCTCCAGCAGCTAGATAAGAGGGGACTGCTCGCAGCTCAGATATAACTTGCTCCAGTGCTCCATGAGGGCAAAGGGACCCACCTAGAAAATGGGTTAGTCTGGGAAGTTTAATACCTTCTTCCCTACCTTGTGCCCAGTCACTTGTAACCCCCCAGGTCTGTGACCCTATTCACTCCAGTAGGCAACTGCTCCTGGGGTTTACGACTGCCAAAATCACCTAGAAATCTGCGTCCTGCAGGGGGCCTTGCGTGTTTAAATTAGGCTGTGAAAGTTCTCTCAATTCTAGCCCCTCACCTTCTGTCTTGGTGTAGCAAGTAGCAAATCTAGTAGCAAATCAGAGGCTACTAGAGCTAATGAGCAACTCAACCCTGGGCAGCAATTAGAGTTTATACTCAGGTGTCAATCCCTGCCTCTGCCTGCCCACTGCCTTTATCTCAACATTCCCCTGAGGGTGAGGTTCTCCTTGGGAAATCTGAGTCAAGTCCGGCAGGGGAAGAATTTAAGCTTTGGAAGTTCTTGCCATTCCTGCTTCACACCTTCTGTCCCGTCTAAATTCTTCTGCAAGTCAGAGGCTGCTAGAGCTGGTGAGGAACTCAGCTCTGGGCAGCAAGCTATTAGAGTTTACACTAAGGTGTCAATTCCAGCCTCTGCCTGCCCACTACCTTTGTCTCAGCTATACTCTCCTGAGGGCTGGTGCTAATAGTCTATTTACTTACGAAAGTTACCAAGTCCGTTCCACCTGTGGCTGCTGTCCGGAACCTCTGGTTGCCCAGAGACACGGGGTTTGCTTATCTGGAATGGCATCAGTTCACAGCTCAGGATGCCACTTTTGCTGTATGGCTTCCTCTGAGCCAACTTTCTTCTCCTCACCCCCCCTGCCACAATCAGCACAGAGCAGCACCAGCCCTTTCTCCCTCCACTTCTCTCAAGGAGAGGCCCAAGAATCTGGACTCCATAGGTAACAAACCTCCAGACTTGGGGGTGGGTGGGTGCAGAATCTTCTGAGTTCAATGTTGCAGGTGGAGAATATATACAGTTTTATACACTTTTACAGTTTTATGCCTGGCAGGAGGGTGCTGTGGCATGCCAGCAGGGGTAGGGGGTCTAGTTTTTAGGGGGGTTCTCCCATGTGATAAAGTGGGAGGATATTTGAACTCTGCTCACTTGTTTGCATGGAATAAACTGCAAGCCCTTATTGTGGGGGAGGGGACTCCCATCCGCTTGGTGGTGGATTTTGTACCTTTTGTTTGTATTTTTGGAGTCGCAGCTCACCTCAGGAAGGTTGAAGTGCGCTCTTCAATCTTCTCTCTTGGCTCCGCTTCAATCCATCAGCTCCCTTGCTAAACTTCTGTCCTTTAAACCTCCTCCTGGACAGGAGCTTCTGTAAAAAGCTGGCTGCAGTCCGCCATCTTGGCTCCCTCAATATGTCTAGTTTAGACTTTTTTTTTCATCTGTGGTTTATGTTTTTTGTATCCTAAGAAATCTTTTTCTATCTTTACATGTTATGATTTTCTCCCATGGTCTTCTTATTGAAGATTTATAGTTTTAGCTATTGTGATAGGTCTGTGATACATTTCTAGTTGATAGTTGATGTGAGCTAGTTAACGTTAGAGGCTCATTTAAAAACGCAGATAGCTCATTGTTCCCCAACTATATGTCAAAATGACTGTCATTTCTTTTTGGAACCTTTGTCAAAAATCATTTGACTAATACTGGGAATGTTGGCTCATACCTATAATTGTAGTACTCTGGGAGGCCAAAGAGGAAGGATCTCTTGAGCTCAGGAGATCGAGATTATCCTGAGTAAGAGTGAGACTTCATCTCTACTAACAATAGAAAAATTAGCCAGGCATGGTGGTGGGCACCTGTAGTTCCAGCGTCTTGGGAGACTGGAGGATTGCTTGAACCCAAGAGAGTTTGAGGTTACTGTGAGCTAGGCTGATGTCATATCATATTAAACTTGGCAACAAAGACTTTGTCTCAAAAAAAAATCATTTGATGAAATATGTATGGAGTAATAGACTGAATATTTGTGTCCTACCCCCTTCCCCATTCAGATGTTGAAATCCTAACTCCCAGTGTGATGATCTTAGGAAGTAGGACCTTTGGGAGGTATTTAGGTCTTAAGAGTGGAGCCCTCCCCTTCGTGAATGAGACTAGAGTCCTTATGAATAAGATTAGTGCCTTTATAAAAAGGGACCCCAGAGAACTCTCTATGTGAGATATAATAAGAAGACAGACATCTGCAAATGGGGAAGAGGAGCCTCACCAGAACCTTATGCTGGCACTCTTAGGCTTCTAGTCTCTAGAACTATAAGAATTACATTTTGGTTGTTTATAAGTCACATAGTCTCTGGTACTTCATTAGAGCAGCTTGAGCTGAAACATGGACCTAATTCTGGACTGTATTCTGTTCCCTTGACCTACACTTCTGTCATAATGTCAATACCAGTTTTGATTACTACAGTTTTATAGTGAGTCTGGAAGTTCAGTAGTTTAACTCTTTCAACTTTGTTTTCTTTTTCAGAATAATTTTGGTTGTCTAGGTCCTTTTTATTTCCATATGAACTTTAAAATCACCTTGTCAGTTTCTACCAAAAAACCAGCAAGAATTTTGCTTGGGTTTGAATTGAAACCCAGTTCAGATAAATCTGAGACAAAAGAGGTAATCTTGTATGGGAAAGCAGCCAGCTGGCCACATTAAGTCTTTCCTTGAAGGAAGATAGTGTAAACCATCTCTGTGGGTATAGATACTACAGTTTTTGGTGGTTGATAGTATTCAGATTTTTTTATATTTATTTTTTTGCCTGAAATAGGTAGGTTATTACTGAAAAGGGTACGTTAAAAATCTCTAATTATGACTAGATTTATCTGTTTTTCTTTTTAGTTATCTTTTGCTTTATGTAATGTTTTCTTTTTACTTTAAGATAGAATCTCACTCTGTTGCCCAGGCTAGAGTGCCATGGCATCAGCCTAGCTCACACTCAAATTCCTGGTTGGGTGTGATGAGTGTACTCAGTTTGGACTGTATCTTGGACATTTTGAGTATTCTATCATAAGACTCTAGTTTCTTCCCAAATTGTGTACATTAATAGCCACTGGGGAGGGAGGAAAGGTAATGCCTGTTGGCTGACATTCACCTTGTATAGGACATGAATGGGTGAGAGGCTTCACCCTATAGTTCCTGTGGCTGTAACTCCAGTAGGAGGGTGGGAGGAAGGAGGATCATCATCTCTACTCTCATTCTGGTCCAAAATGGGGTGGTCAGCAAAGCTTTGTACAGATTACACAGTATCCAACTGAAAGGATTTCTTCCTTCAGGACTGCTGTCTTCTCAGTCCTTTGGTTAGAAAGAGTAGATGTTTCTTGGGGGCTTTTTGTTGTTGTTCTATTACCTCTTGACAATTCTAGGTTGTGAGTGGCTGTAACGTCCATGGGGGGATACATAGTGGCAAAAAATCTTCAGAGAATTCCTTACCTGATTATCCTTCAACTCCTGAGGTCTCAAGCCAATTTGCCTCAGTTTCTTTACATTTCAGAGTCTTCTGGCAGTTACTCTTTGCCTTTGGTCCAAAGTTTTGGGTGTACTTATCAGGAAGAATTGGGTGAATATACTTATTCCATCTGTCTGGAAGTTTGGTATTTTTTAATATGCCAAATTAATTGTGTTGTAATTTTATTTATTTGCCCTGTTTATTTTGTTTTTCAGGCAAATGAAGATAAAACAATGTCAACCAACCTAAAATACCTGTCCTTGGGAATTTTGGTCTTTCAGACTACCAGTTTGGTTCTAACGATGCGTTATTCTAGGACTTTAAAAGAGGAGGGACCTCGTTATCTATCTTCTACAGCAGTGGTAGTTGCTGAACTTTTGAAGATAATGGCCTGCATATTGTTAGTCTACAAAGACAGCAGTAGGTATCTAGGTTTTTGTTTTTAATCAGTGCTGTTTTTCAATTTACATATATACGTAAATGTATATTAGTAATTACACATTTGAATTCTTACATTATCTAATGCCCTAGTATTAAGAACATTTCAATATTTAATAAAAAAAAATTTATGAAGAGCTTAAGTCTAGTAATGAAGATATTTTATCTTAATCTCTGTCATGATTCATATCTTTTGGTTAATACTGTAAATATAAAACATAGTTTCTTGCATTTATAGTAATTTGAGAATATGGGTAAATTTCATAATCATGTGACTGTTAGAACTTTAGAAGAAATAATGATTTTGCTAAAGTAAAGGTTTTTTATTTTATTTGCTTTGTTGATTAGTAAGCAGTGAGTACTTTTACATACGTTTTTTGAGTTATAATTCACAAACCATATAATTCACATATTTAATGTATAAAATTTAATGGTGTTTTGCTGTATTCCATTTTTTAACTTTTTAAGTTGTGGCAAAATGTGTATGTTTGTGTGTGTATATATATATATTAAAAAGTATAAAATCTGCCATTTTAGCCATTATTAGTGTACAGTTCATTGGTGTTAATTACATTCACAATGTTGTACAACCATCACCACTGTTTTCAAAACATTTTCATCACACTGGACAAAACCTCTGTAACTAGTAAGTAATAACTCCCCTTTCCCTTGCCCTCAGCACCTTGGAATCTCTAATTTACTCTGTGTCTCTGAATTTGCTTATTCTAAATGCTTTAGATAAGTAGAATCATATAATGTTTTCCCTTTTAGGTCTTTCACTTAGCATAGTATTTTCAACCTGTATTGTAACATGGATCAGAATTTTACTCCTTTTTATAGCTGAGTAGTATTCCACTGTGTAGATATACCTCATTTTGTTTGACCATTCATATGTTGTTGGACACTGGGTTGTTTCTACTTTTTGGCTGCTGGAATGAACAATGAGTAATGCTGCAATAGATGTACAAGTATCTTGAGTCCCTGCTTTCATTTCTTTTGGGGATGTATAGATGTGGAATTGCTGGGTGAGGTGGTAATTCTATGTTTAACTTTCTAAGGAATCTTCCAACTGTTTTCTTTTTTTTTTTAAATATTTATTTATTTATTTTTGCGTTTTTTGGCCAGGGCTGGGTATAAACCCGCCACATCTGGCATATGGGGCCAGCGCCCTACTCCTTTGAGCCACAGGTACCACCCTTCCAACTGTTTTCAGCAGCAACTGGATCATTTTACATTCCTACCAACAATATACAGTGGTTCTAATTTCTCCACATCCTCATCAACACTTATTATTTTCCATTTTAAAAAAATTACAGCCATTCTAATAGGTGTGAAGCAACTTGTGTTTCTCTAATGAGTAATGAAAATAACTTTTCATGTGCTACTGGCCATTTGTATATTTTCGTTTGAACTGCATCTGACATTACTTGCTAATAGATTGGGTATGTGAGGAAAAAAAGAGGAATCCAGTTTGAGGAATAACTGCTGGGTTTTTAGATTAAATTACTGGGTGAATGGGTTCTGCAATGAATGATATAGGAAAGATAGATTTGGGAAAATTAAGCCTTCTCTTTGGGCCTTATTAGGTTCGAGATGCCTATAGGGAGATATCAAATAGTAAAGTCTATGAATATGAATTTATATGAACTAAAAGATTTGTCATTTTATATATTGCTTTTAAGTTAAGGATTTCATGTGATAATCTAGTATATACTAGACGAGAAGAAGGCCAGGCTGAGCTCTGTCACCTTCCTAATATTTAGAGGTCAGATTCAGAAGGAGGAATCAGCAAAAGAAGACTGAAGGAATCACCAGCAAGATAGAATGAAAATATACTAGGAACACTGAAAAATAATAGTGTGTTTGTTTTGTTTTTAAGGCATAGATGAGCAGAAGTATCCACTGCAGTTAACATTGTGGAACCAAGATATCTTGGTTCACATAATATAGTTGCATTGCAGAGAGATGCAGGAAAACCAACTTAGATACACCGTACACAAAATAAATTCCAACTGACTTTAAATTTGACATTTAAAAAGTAAACTTTATGTCCTTAGCACTATGAATGGTTTCAAATAAGATATCAAAGGAACAAATAAGACTGATGGCAGTAGGCAGCAGGGCCATGGCTGCTGAGCTGTGCTGAGGTAGTGGGGACCTGCTGCATGGGGAAGGCCTCTCTGGGCTGTGGTACTACGGTGGGCTAGAGAATCCCATGAGGTAGGTGGGGAACATGTTGACCACCTCTAAGCAGAAACTACCAGGCACAGAGACTGAGAAATTCCAGGTGGTCTACCATTTTGATGCCATCAGAGTCTTTGGGTACATAGCTTAAAGGTGGCACAGACTCCCTGACAGGGGTGGGCCTTGCCACTGGGTTTCTGCTACTATTCCCAGGGACCCATGACTCTCAGCGCCCTGTGCCTTGTAAATGGAATAGCCAGCTTTGCCCTGATCGTGCTGTGCTGGATGAGCTGTTTCTTTTGGAGACTGGGTGGAATCTTGTTTGCAAATGAGTCTGGCACTATCCTTCTGGTGGCTTACTGACCAGGGCTAGTGGCAGAGTACATACTGTCCTGTGGCAGATGTGGTGCTCCTGACAGAACCAAGGATCAGCCTTAGGAGTTTGTTCATACATATCTAGCAATACAGTGGGAGGCAGACCTACCTCACCTGCACTGTGGGACACGTCCTGGACAGAGAGCATTTCCCTCAGATGTTTGGGCTTCTGGACAAGCTCAAATGGAAACCCGGAAAGTAGGCCTCCGAGGAGGGCCATGTGCAGTGGCTCACACCTGTAATCCTCGCACTCTGGGAGGCTGAGGCGGGTGGATTGCTTGAGCTCAGGAGTTTGAGACCAGCCTGAGCAAGAGTGGGACCCTGTCTCTATAAAAATAGCAGGTACCTGTAGTCCTAGCTACTCAGGAGGCTGAGGCAAGAAAATCACTTGTGCCCAAGAGTTTGAGGTTGGTGTGAGCTGTGACACCACACGTCACACGGCTCTGTCTCCTGAGGGTGACAGAGTAAGACTCAGGATCAAAACAACAACAACAACAACAACAACAGAATCAGACACCTGGAGAATTTGCCAAGGCCCTGGGAGCTTGTCTTCAGGGAAAAAGAAATTCATAAGGCAGAAGCTGGTGACCAGGGTTAGGAAAAAGGCTCTGAATGCAAGTTGTTACTGCAGTTGTATACGACATTCATTCAGAAAGGGCCAGGAGGTTCTGTTAAGAGCAAGTTCTTGGAGGAAGCTGCGCCAAGGTCACCAGACAGTCCACGGCTGTGAAATTGGAAGATAGGGGTGTGGTATAGGGAGTATAGGATTTAAAGTCAGAAGTATTAGCTTCTGTCAGTTTTCAACTCCCTGTACTTAAGCAGGTTATTGAGTCTCTTTGAACTTTGGTTTTCACATCTATGAAGTGGTAAGTCCTGTCTGTTTCGTGAGATGGATGTGAGAATAAACAATAAATGTCAAGTATGTTGCAAACTCAATAGCCTGGAATAAATATTAAACATTTGGTCAGAGGTTACAGTGTGGTGAAAAGATCCTAGGCAGTCAGTGATGATGTCCAGAGCTATGTGCTGTACTCCTTCCAGCATCCAGGAGAAGGGAGTGGGTGAAGCCTGGATCCATAGGATAGTGACTATACCTTGACTTGGGCATGATGTCATCCAAGTGAGCACAGCATCCCACCTCAGATTTTATTTACCACTCAGAGGTCTAGGGGCTTTTTCATTGGAAGGCTTTGCAGTGTTATGAAGCCAGATCAGGAGGCTAAGGCAGGGGGAGCACTTGAGTCCAGGAGTTCTAGCCTGGGTGACAGAGCAAGACCCTGTCTCCTAAAATAAATAAATGAATGCAGGCAAGAGGCAGATAAACTGTAACAACAGCAGAGGCACAAATAAGCCATAAAAGAAAAACTTGATAATTTGGGGTACATTAAAATGAGAAATATTTATAAATCAAGCCAAGTAAGAAGCTAAGCCACAGATTGAGAGAAGACACTTATATCACTTGGAACCACCAAAATCAATATCCAGAATTACAGAGACTTCCTACAACTCGGTAAAAAAGACAACAACTCAACAGAAAAGGGGGCAAAGGATATCAGTAGGCAATTCATGGGAAAGGAAACCTGAATGACCAATAAATATATAAGATGCTCAACGTCACACTGGCAATCAGAGCAATCCAATTACAACAGGGACACAATTCCACTGCCCTCAGATGGGCAAAAACAAGAAGTCTTAACAATACCAGGAATTGGCAGGAATGTGAAACAGACTTTCCCCAAGAGCAAGTGAGAAAGACATGTGATAGCATTGATTATTTAAAATTTTAATTAAAACATTTTAAAATGTGCTAATATTTGAGATTTTTTCTGGTAAAACTAAGAAAAAATCTTTAGTAACTTTTGTTTTAATAGTTTTTTGACTTATTTTGGAATGAGGGAATGATGCGTGTCAGGTAGCAATCTTTAAAGTTTTTTTCCATTTCAAAAGACTTGCTAATCAAAGTTTTCCTGTTTTATATCGAGAAAGAAAGTAATCTACAAAGTGTCATTGTTGGTAAAGTGTTTCCTTAGAATTTTTCTTTCTTGAGAGATTTTTATGCTCTTAAAATTCTTTAGACATTTTTTCGTGACTGATACTATAGGTTGGCTAGCTCAAAGTCCATTTCTAATCCCTTTCTCCATTTCCTATCTCTAATATGGAAGAAATAAAGGAAAAGACTTGGCTTCCGTGCAGCTAGGGATAGCTATGCAACACAGTCCTGTTCAATAAGAACCAAAAAAGATGCCTGCTAATTTCTTCTTCCTTCTTGCTGCCTGAAATAGGAAACTGAGAGGTGCAGCAGTCATTTGATGACCTTGTTGTGATAATCATATGGAAAATAGATGAAAAGTATGAAAGTAAAAAGTCAATACACTATATACAGTATTACATGAGCGTATCTTAGAATAGTGTCTATTCCTGTATACCAGGTATATTTCGGTTTCAAAAAAATTAGATATATATTATTATCGAACATGTATTTTGGCATCCAAGAATTTTTTCAAGTTCATATTGCAGAAAATTTTAAAGCCAGTTATTCTACTCTAACATAGTTATTTGTTTTTCTGCTCCCTCTTTTTTTCTAAATACATGGTATATTTCTCTTGGACAAAGTTTTAATCATTTGCAATATAAAGAGACGTAAGCTTAATTTACAGCAGGATTCTGTTAACAGGAAAGAGATAATCCAATTTGACTATTTGATGATCCAACTGAGCCTGGAATATTAATTTCAGCCTGTTCATCACCAGAATGGGCTGCAGGGGTTGGAAGGTTTCTAACAAAGTTCATCAGAAGGCCTGTATAACAAGATCGTGTTAGGGATCCATGCAACCAGAAAGCGTTAGTTTCTCATAACTCTGAGATCCTCTCTTGGTTGATGGCAGTTGGCGCATTTGGGGCACCACTTTGGGTTTCTCTCAGCCCGAAGTCTCAGGGTAGAATGGAAGAACAAGCCTTCTCCCAGACTGCTAGGGCAGCCCGTGCCTGAGCTGATCAGGTTTGTTTTCAGGTCTGTGACAGTCATTTTTAAGAGTGAGTTTATTTGCTTCCAGGATCCACCTCCCCACTCCTCTCAGAATCCTTTGTAATCCTTTGCCCTTCTTTTCCCAGCCAGACACTGTGGCACCTTCTGCAGCTTACTTGATGCAGCATTGCCACGAACCTTGAATTTGTTAAAAATACAGTATCTGCAACTGCAATAAAGTGAAGCACAATTAAAGGAAGTGTGCCTGTAGCAAGAACCCTGATCCCTGGGCTGTTAGAGAGCTTTAGGTCTGGACTCATGCTCTGTGAGACAAATCCCTGCAGGACTAACCAACCAACCAAAGCCACTCCCTGATTGATTTGTCTATTTTTATGATTAAAATCTCACAATTATTAATTGGCATGGATGAATGATGATACATGGAATACACAAAATAGAAGTTTTTATAATATTGTTATAATAAAGAATACTTAATTGATAGAGTAATCCTTTGAACTTTTAATATCATAAGTGTATATACGTATGCATGAGTTGTGTATATATGTAGATACATGTATATAATCAATCTGATTACATATCAGAATGAAAGAATATAAGGATAATACTCTTCCTATTATATATCGTCACAAAGTTATATTTTAGACCTAAACATATTTTAACATGTACCTCTGTTTTCTTTTTACATGAATGAGAAAATAGTTCTTGCGAGAGAGGATATTTAATTTATTCAGTTAGTTAATTACTGATTTTTCCCATTTCGTATTTTCTTCTAGAATGTAGTGTAAGAGCCCTGAATCGGGTACTACATGATGAAATTCTTAATAAACCTATGGAAACGCTGAAACTTGCTATTCCTTCAGGAATATATACTCTGCAGAACAATTTACTCTATGTGGCACTGTCAAATCTAGATGCAGCTACTTACCAGGTACTTAAAATATGTATCTTTACTTCCTTAAAAGATTTTGTATTGAAACATAATATGGGTGGCACCTGTGGTTCAAAAAAAGAAACATAATATGTATACATATTTATGAGATACACGTGATATTTTGATGCATGCATATAATGTGTAATGATCAAATCTGGGTGTTGAGCATATCCATTACCTCAAACATTTATCATTTCTCCATATTGGGAGCATTTCAAATCTTCCTTCTAGCTATTTTGTAATCTATAATTGTTATTAACAGTAGTCACCCTATTGTGCTATCAAACACTAGAACTTATTCTGTCTGACTATATGTTTGTACTCATTAACCAAGCTCTCTTTATCCTTCCCCTCTGCTTCCTTCCCAGCCTCATTCTATTCTCTACCTCCAACTTTTTCAGCTCCAGTATGTCCACGAGAGCATGTCTTTCTGTGCCTGGCTTATTTTACTTAACATTCATGTTGTGCAGATAACAGGATTTCATTCTTTATTTGTGGTTGAATTGTATTCTGTCGGGTATACAGAGGGCACCCAAAAATGTATACACATTTTAAGAAAGAAAAAACTGTATTAAAATTGTAATATTCAGTATATACTGATAACATTTGTTATCTTGTATAGTATATCTTTTGTAATCGCAAAGTCAAACGTGACTTCAGTATTACAATTTTAATACTTTTCCTTCTTTCTTTCTTTTCTTTTTTTTTTTTCAGAGACAGAGTCTCACTCTGCCATCCTAGGTAGAGTGCCCTGGCTTTATAGCTCACAGCAACCTCAGTCTCTTGGGTTTGGGTTTGCCTCAGCCTCCCGATTAGCTGGGACTATAGGCGTGCATCACCACACCCAGCTAATTAGGTTTTTTTTATCTGTTTGTTTTTCTGTTTTTAGTAGAGATGGGGGTCTCACTCTTGCTCAGGCTGGTCTGGAACTCCTGAGCTTAAGCAATCTATGTGCCTTGGGCCCCCAGAGTGCTCAGATTACAGGTGTGAGCTGCTGTGCCCAGACCAGTTTTTTCCTTTCATAAAATTTTTTTATCCATTCATTCATGGGTGGACATCTAAGTTGATTCCCTATCTTGGTTATTGTGAGTAGTGCTGCAGTAAACATGAGGGTGCAGGTATCCCATTGATAGACTGATTTCCTTTCCTTTGGATAAATACCCAGTAGTGGAATTGGTGGGTCATATGTTAGCTCTATGTTTAGTCTTTAGAGAAACCTCCATGCTGTTTTCTTTTTTTAGAAATTAGTGTCATTTAATTGAAAGAAAAATATGAGCCACAAATTTCTCTTCCCATGTGTGCGTTATACTAGGTTTTACATTTTAACTTATTTGTGTCATTCTGAAACAGGGGAATAAGATTTATTATGAGAGTTTTTTTACAATAATAAATGGTAATAAGAAGGTAGTTAACTATGTTCTCCATGTTACTTTTGAATTTTGTGCATTGGATTTACATTTCATTATGTTATTTTATGTCTAAATCTTATAAGCAATGCCTAGAAAAGTATTCACTAATCTTACATGACATGAAAATTTTAACCTCGGCTCAAGTAGCTAAGGCGCCAGCCACATACACCTAAGGTGGCGGGTTCGAATCCAGCCCAGGCCCGCCGAACAACAATGACGGCTGCAACCAAAAAATAGCCAGGCATTGTGGCAGGCGCCTGTGGTCCCAGCTACTTGGGAGGCTGAGGCAGAAGACTCGCTTGAGCCCAGGAGTTGGAGGTTGCTGTGAGCTGTGATGCCACAGCACTCTACCCAGGGGGATAGCTTGAGGCTCTGTCTCAAAAAAAAAAAAGAAAGAAAGAAAATTTTAATCTCAGTTTTTTTCTCCTTTTCTGCAAGTAATTATCAATGATTTTTTTTAATTAAATCATAGCTGTGTACATTAATGCAATCATGGAGTACAGTGTGGTGTTTTCTTTTCCTGTTCTTTTGAAGTTATAGCCATAAAGCTTTTGCCTAGATTAGTGGTTCTCAACCTTCCTAATGCTGCAGTGTATTTTCATTGTTAAAAAGGGGTCGTGACCCACAAGTTGAGAACCGCTTGCCTAAATCAATGCTCCAGATCTGTGTTTGTCTACCATTTTTATCTCACGGCACACTTGAAACTATAGTTAAACTTCTGCAGCACACATAAATTATGTCGATCAAAAAAATAAAAGGAGTTAAAGAAAAGAATATACTTATTGTGCTTTGAACTTCTTTCAAAAATAATTTATAATGATCTTTAAAATTTTTCATAGCACACCAGTTGAAAATCATTGCTCTAGAACATTTCCCCTCTGTTTTCTTCCAGTAGTTTCATAGTTTTGAGTTTGAAGTCTGTAATCCATTTCAAGCTGAATTTTCGGTTGATGAGAGATGGAGCCTCCTTTCTTTTGTGTGTATTGATACACAATTTTCCCAGTGTCATTTATTGAAGAGGGTGTTGTTTCCCCAGTGTGTGTTCATGGCACTTTTGTCAAAAATTAGTTGGCTGTCAATACATGAATTTATTTTTGGGTTCTCTATTCTGTTCCCTTGATCTTTGAATCTATTATTGCACCAATACCATGCTGTTGTATATTTTGAAGTCAGGTAGTGTGATTCCTCCAGTTTTGTTCTTTATGCCCAGGATTGCTTTGGCTATTCAGGGTATTTTGTGGTTCCATATGAATTTTAGGACCATTTTTTCCTAATTCTGTGAAGAATGTCATTGGTATTTTGATGAGGATTGCATTGAATTTGTAGATTGCTTTGGGTATTGGGATTATTTTGCTTAATTTTTTCCTGGGTATATTTTTTTTTGTAACTATTATAAGTAGCATTCCTTTCTTGATTTCCTTTTAGCTAATTTATTACTGATTAATAGAAATACTACTGACATTTGTATGTTAATTTTGTATCCTGCAACTTGTATGAATTCATTTATCTGTTCTAAGAGTTTTTTGGTGGATTCCTTAGGTTTTGCTATATGTAAGATTATGTTGTCTGAAAGGGGAATGATTTGACTCCCTCCTTTCCAATTTGAATGTCTTGTATTTCTTTTTCTTGCCTGATTATCTAGGATTTGCAGTACTTTATTTAATAAGAGTGGTGAAAGTGAGAGCATCTGTGTCTCATGCCAGTTCTTAGAGGGACAGCTTTCAGCTTTTCCCTATTCAGTGTGAGGTTGGCCTTGGGTTAAGTCATATATGGCCTTTATTATGTTGAGGTATGTCCCTTCTATGACTAATTTGCTGAGAGTTTTTATCATGAAAGATGTTTTCAATTTTATCAAATGCCTTTTTGCATCTGTAGAGATGATCATATAGTTTTTTGTTTTTGTTTGTTTTTTGAGGCAGAGTCTCACTTTGTTGCCCCTGGTAGAGTGCTGTGGTGTCATAGCTCTCAGCAACCTTTAACTCCTGGACTCAACCAATTCTCTTGCCTCAGCTTCCCAAGTAGCTGGGATTACAGGCACCTGCCACAACACCTGGCTATTTTTAGAGGCGGGGTCTCACCCTAGCTCAGGCTGGTCTTCAACTTGTGAGCTCAGGCATGAGCCACCGTGCCCAGCCCATCACATAGTTTTTGTCTTTGATTCTGTTGATGTACTGTATCACATCTATAGCTTGCATATTTTGACCCATCCTTGCATCCATGGTATGAATCCCACTTGATTGTGCTGAATAATCTTTTTGATGTGCTGTTGGATTCCATGGGCTACTGTTTTGTTGAGAATTTTTGCATCTGTGCTCTCCAAAGATATTGGCTTATTATAATTTTCTATTTTTGCTACATCTTTGTCTGGTTTTAGTATCAAGGTTATGCTGGCCTTATAGAATGAGTTAGGAGGAGTTCCCTTCTCTTCAGCATTTTGGATAGTTTGAGAAGAATTGGTTTTAATTCTTCAGTATAGGCTTTGTAGAATTCAGCAATAAAACCATCTAGTCCTTGACTGTTTTTTGTTGGGAGACTTTTTATCAATGACAATCTCATTACTGTTCAGATTTTCTATTTCTTCTTGACTCCATCTTGGTGTCCAGGAATTTACCTATTCCCTGTAGATTTTCCAGTTTTTTAGTGTATAATTACTCAAAACAGTCTCTAATGGTTTCTTTGTATTTCTGTGGTTCTAGTTGTTATGTGTCCTTATGTGTTTCTGATTTATTTGGGTCTTCTCTCTTTTTTTATTGACTAGTCTCGCTAATGGTTTATTGATTTGATTTTCTTTTCAGTAAACTAACCTTTCATTTCACTGATCCTTTCCGTTGTTTTCTTTCTCTTCTCTCCTTTATTCTCTCCTCCCTTCTCCTCCCCTCCTCTCCTCTCTTTTCTTTTCTTTCTTTCCTTTTTTTTTTTTGAGGTAAAGTCTCACTGTGTTACCCAGGCTAGAGTGTGGTGGTCCTAACAGAGCTCCTGCCTCTGCCTCCTGAGTAACTGGAATTAAAAGCACATGCCACCACACCCAGCTAATTTTTCTATTTTTGGAGAGACAAGGTCTTACTCTTGCTCAAGCTCGTCTTAAACTCCTGACCCGAAGCAATCTCCTGGTTTGACCTCCCAGAGTGCCAAGATTATAGGTATTAGCCAGTGCACACAGCTTAAATTTTTTTAGAGAGAAAGTCTGCCCCCAGACTGGTCTTGAATTTCCAGCCTCCAGCGATCCTACTACCTTGGCCTCCCAAAGTTCTGGAATTATAGGCATGAGTCACTGTGGTTGTGTCTTAGTTTTGTTTTTTTTTCTTGTCACCATTTTTGTTACTTTTGCTCTGATCTTTATTATTTCTCTCCTATTAACTTTGGGTTTAGTTTACTCTTCCATTTTTAGTTGCTTAAGGTACATCATTAGATTATTTATTTGAAATCTTTCTACTTTTTGATACAGGCATTTATTGCATTAAATTTTCTTCTTAGCACTGCTTTTTCTGTATCCCATAGGTTTTGGCATTTTGTGTTTCTCTTTTTATTTATTTGAAGAAATTTTTTGTCTTCCTTTGTAATTTCTTCATTGACTCAGTGGTTGTTCAGGAGCATGTTTTTAATTTCCATATATTGGGGAAGTTTCCAGAGTTCCTGATTATTAATTTCTCATTTTATTTCTTTGTGATCTGCGAAAGATACTTGATATGATTTCAGTTTTTAAAGATTTGTTAAGAATTATTTTGTAGGCTTGGCACCTATGGCTCAAGTGGCTAAGGCTCCAGCCACATACACCTAAGGTGGCAGGTTCAAATCCAGCCCGGGCCCACCAAACAACAATGACGGCTGCAACCCCCCCAAAAATAGCCAGGCATTGTGGCGGTCGCCTGTGGTCCCAGCTACTTGGGAGGCTGAGGCAAGAGATTTGCTTGAGCCCAGGATTTGGAGGCTGCTGTGAGCTGGGATGCCAGGGCACCCTACCCAGGGGGACAGCTTGAGGCTCTGTCTCAAAAAAAAAAGAATTATTTTGTAGCTTAACATAGGCACATGGTCTGTTCTGGACAATGTTTCATGTACTGAGGAAAATGTATATTCTGCAACTGTTGGATGAAATGTTCTTTTATTGTCCCAGCTACTCAGGGGGCTGAGGCTGAAGATCTCTTAAGGTCAAGATTTTGAGGTTGCTGTGAGCTAGGACACCATGGCAAACTACCCAAGGCGCAGAGTGAGACTCTTTCTCAAAAAAAAGAAAAAAAAGAAAAGAAACATATAAAATTCACGCAGCACTAGTCACAACAGCCAAGATATGGAATCAACCTAGGTGTCTATTCGTGAGTGAATAGCTAAGGAAACTGTGGTACATATACACAATTGAATATCACACAGCCACAAAAAATGAAATGTTACCATTTGAAACAACATGGATAGAACTATAGAACATTATGTTAAGCGAAATAAGCCAAATACAGAAAGACTAACCTCATGTATTCTTCCTCATATGTGGGAGCTAAATGTTAAGAACAATTGATCTCATGGAGACAGAGAGTAGAGTGATGGTTACCAGAGGCTGGGAAGAGAGCAGGGAGGGGTGAATAAAGTGGAGATGGCTAATGGGTACAAAATTATAGTTAAGATAGTTAAACATAAATGAACAATATTTGATAGCACAACACAGTGATTATAATCAATAAGTTAAGGTATCCTTTAAAATAACAACATGGAATTGGAATGTTCTTAACAAAGAAATGTTAAAGGCATGAGGTGATGGCTACTCCAACTACCTTGCTTTTATTAATTTACATTGGATGCCAATATCAAAATATCTCATGTACCCTATAAAGATATATACCTGGTATATATCCATAAGAATGAAAAATTTGAAATTAAAAAAAGAAACATCTAAAAAACAATATTGCTGTTTTCTTTTTCAGGTCACGTATCAGTTGAAAATTCTTACAACAGCATTATTTTCTGTGTCTATGCTTGGTAAAAAATTAGGTGTGTACCAGTGGCTCTCCCTAGTAATTTTGATGACTGGAGTTGCTTTTGTACAGGTAACTATTCAAGATAAGTATGCCTTTCATTTTTATCATAGTTTTAAAACCTTATTTACTTTGCATGGAGAATATGTTTCTATTACTTGTCGAAGCAAACAAATGCTTATTTCTTACAACTGGCAGATATATTTTTGGGGTTTCTGGCACGTGAGATACTATATTGGAAGTGTGTCACAAAGACGTTAATAAAAATAAAATTTTATTACCAAAGAAATGAATAATTGAGTTATGGAAATTAGATGCCATGTATTAACAAACCTATTTGGTGGGGGGGGGGGTTGTTTGTTTGGTTTTTTCTTTTTTTTGCAGCTTCTGGCCAGGGCTGGGTTTGAACCCGCCACCTCCCGTGTATGGGGCTGGTGCCCTACTCCTTTGAGCCACAGGCACTGCCCCAACAAAGCTGGTTTTATTGGCTATCAGTAGCACTGGAGATTATTAGCCATGCTTTTATTGTCTGTCAGCTTCACGAATGCCAGTCTTTCCTTGTTATATCTTTCTAGTGATTCTGATTGGTTTCCTTCTTGGTATTATCTTCCTTGATATTCTCTTTAGATGCTGGGGTTGTTTGTAGACTTTTACTTTTTTCTAATTTATGTCCTTATTTTTGGAGATTTCATACATTCCAGAGATTTTTATTAACATTTCATGCTGGTAATTCTTTGGTTTCTGTCATTAGCTCTGATTTTCACTTGTAGCTTCAGATTTGTGTATTTAAAAGTCCCTTGCATATCTTCACTTGGTTATCCAATAAGGCTTATAAACGCAGCACATCTGAAATTGAAGTTTATGTCTTCCCTGCAAAACCTGCTCTTATTTCTATTTTTCCAGTCTTTACTCAGCCTGGGAGCTATCCTAGATGCTCTTCTTCTCCCTAATTATCCAATAATCACTGAGAGCTTTCTGATCCTGCTTTCTAAAACTTTCTGATATTGTCCTTATCTGTTCTCATTTTCTCAGTTCTTCCTTCCTTGTTTTGTTATCTTTTCCTCCTAACTGATTATTTCCACTCCACTTTTACCCATCCCCCAAATCCAGCCTCTGCTTAGTTACCACCATGGTTTATCTAATAATTAATCCAATCATATCACATCCTGCCATTCAGAGGGCCCCTATCACTTCCCCCAGAGTGTGGTGTGTATATCATAAATAAGTATTTTTTTATTAAGTCATTTGTACATAGATCATGGATACATTTATGCCATCATGGGATTCATTGTTTTTTTTTGAGACAGAGCCTCAAGCTGTCCTGCTGGGTAGAGTGCCGTGCATTACAGCTCACAGCAACCTCCAACTCCTGGGCTCAAGCGAGTCTCCTGCCTCTGCCTCCCAAGTAGCTGGGACCACAGGTGCCCGCCACAACACCTGGCTATTTTTTGGTTGCAGCCGTCATTGTTGTTTGGCGGGTCCGGGCTGGGGATTCGAACCCGTCACCTTAGGTGTACGTGGCTGGCGCCTTAGCCAGTTAAGCTATAGGCGCTGAGCTGGGATTCATTTTAAATAGATATTAAGACATTATAAATGGCACATCAAATTAATTTTTATAAATATTGCTTAGGATAAGCTAAAGTAGGTATTATTTTAAAAAATGGGGTATCTTCAATTAAAATATGTAATTAATTATTCAGTTGGAACATAGTTTTGACAAAACCAAGCAAATCACAGGCAAATAACTGAGACTTTAGGAACACTGACCTACAGGATTAAGCCCAGAATGGTTAGCACAACACTCTGGACTTTGTGATGTGTCTACATCTCCAGGCTCATTTTTGCTGCTCCACACTTCATAATCTGAATTTCTGCAACTGAACTGGCTTTTGAGGCTATTTTGCCCAACTGCGCACTTATTCATCTTCTTGTACGTATAATGACTTTTCCCTTCCTTTGCCTGGCTAGCTCTTACTTTTTTTTTTAAGACTCATTAAGTATTAGCTCTATAAGAATACCTTCCTAGCCTCATGGGCATAGTCTTTATCTCTTCTCTGCTACCATAGTACTTTGTGCGTATCTTTTCTAGGTGACTTATATTACACTTAAATGCTTGTTTATGTGTCTGCTTTCTCCCTGCCACTTGAGTTTTTTGAAGGCAGCACCTGTATTTCTCTGTTCCTTCCGTTTCTACTGCCTCATCAGCAAATTTTAAACATAATTAAAGATTAGGAAAAGCAAATAACATTCATTTCTATGTGATTAATTGTCAACTGATTTTAGGCACTGTAAGTACAGCTGTTTGGGAAACTTTCAGGGAGAAGTTTGGATTTAGGTTTGAAAGATAATAGTTATAATTAAATCTGCATATTGAGTATTTATATACCAGGCACCTTGCCTATGTTACCCTCTGTCTCAAAACAAACAAAACCTTACTGAATTGTTTGTACAGTGGTGCCAGTGTAAGTGCATGGTGGCAAGTTCATGAATTTAATTGTCCGATCTTATGTAATCCTTGTTTAAGGTAGATATTATTCTTTCCAACTTATAGAAGAATTGAAGCTCAGAAAGGTTAATTAAATTGCTTAAGATTATAGATCTAGTAGTGGCAGAGCCAGAATCAAAACACCTTAAACATTCTTCACTATTGTGTTTCAGTAGATCAAAGATGGTTAAAAAGAAAAAAAAGAAAGAAATGGATGGTGCAGCTGTGGATAAGCATAAGATAAGTTTATGGGATAATAATAAGATTCTGGGGAACAAAGGGCTGACAAAAGATGTGGTGAAAGATGAAATTAGAAAATACCGATGCTGGCTCGGCGCCTATAGCTCAGCAGCTAGGCGCCAGCACATACACTGGAGCTGGCAGTTTCAAACCCAGCCTGGGCCTGCCAAATAACAATGACAACTACAACCAAAAAAAAAAAAAAAACACAAAACTGGGCCTTGTGGTGGGTGCCTGTAGTCCCAGCTACTTGGGAGCCTGAGGCAAGAGAATCGCTTAAGCCCAAGAGTTTAAGGTTGCTGTGAGCTGTGACACCATAGCACAAACAAACAAAAAAAAAAAAAGAAAGAAAGAAAAGAAAATATAGGTGTTATCAGTTAATATGTGGTCTTCACTATTGAGCTAGGAGCTCTAGATTTGATGGCTTTTGGCTTTACGGCCTCCGTGGAGATTTGGAAGGGTGAGAGGTGTATCAGAGGAATCTCGTAGGAATCCTGTGCAAGGCAGACTGGTGGAAAGAAAGACTAAAGGAATGGAGAGCATAATGGGGCCAGTCAGTAGGGCTGGAATATCTCACAGTAGTGATGTAAGAGTTGTTACAAGAGAAGAATCAGAATGAGTTTGAGACTAATAAATATCATAGGGAATGGAGAGCAAGGAAATTTATATTTGGTGATTTTTAATAGAAATAAAGGCATCAAAAGCTGTGTTTGTTTTGGAGAGACATGAGTAAAATTTTAGTCACATCGGCTTGAAGGAGATAAGCTTCTGGACAGCAGCAATAGAAATCTTGAACTTGAACTCAGAAGAGATGTCAGTGCTTCTGACAGGAGATTTACTATAAACTAGGCTGTAGTGGAGAGCTTTGTTTCTAATAGGGTATAGCTTTGTTTCCAAGTATGGCTATTTCAATTTAATGAATTAGGCCAGGTGCGGTGGCTCACGCCTGTAACCTAGCACTCTGGGAGGTTGAGGTGGTGAATTGCTTGAACTTGGGAATTTGAAACCAGCCTGAGCAAGAGTGAGACCCCCATCTCTAAAAATAGCTGGGTGTTGTGTGTGTGTGAGGAGGGGCTGTAGTCCCAGGTACTTGGGAGGCTGAGACAAGAGGATCGCTTGAGCCAAGAGTATGAGGTTGCGGCTCGGCGCCTATAGCTCAACCGGCTAAGGCGCCAGCCACGTACACCTAAGGTGGCGGGTTCGAATCCCCAGCCCGACCCGCCAAACAACAATGACGGCTGCAACCAAAAAATAGCCGGGCGTTGTAGCGGGCGCCTGTGGTCCCAGCTACTTGGGAGGCGGAGGCAGGAGACTCGCTTGAGCCCAGGAGTTGGAGGTTGCTGTGAGCTGTAATGCCACAGCACTCTACCCAGGGGGACAGCTTGAGGCTCTGTCTCAAAAAAAAAAAAAAAAAGAGGTTGCTGTGAGCTATAATGCCATAGCACTCTATGGAAGGATGACAAAAGTGAGACTGTCTCCAGAAAAACAAAAAAGCTATTTAACACATGATTGAAAAGTCTTTGGTAGCCATGAAAAGTACAGTTTCAGAAGTAAAAGTGGCTTTATGAAGTCCAGGTAATAAAAGATCAAGCAGAAGAGTAAGGAAATAGATGTGAAAGAAAATTTAACTAGATGTAGTGTATCAATTCATTAGATCGAGGGTCAGTAACATCTAAGCCATGGGGTACCATGCCTGGTAGATGAGTGAGTCCCGTCCAACACACTTCCTTTCCAGTGTAAACAGGGTTTTCCTTTATTTTCTAGTGGCCTAAGTCTTTCCTGACAGTGTTTGGGGTGCACCTCCTGCCTTTATTGATGCTTGAGTTAGCACATTGTTTGCCAGGTGATCTCTGCTTTTGCTGAGGCAGCAGAGGGAATGTTAAGACTTTCATCCTTTCGTCTAAATATATTAAACTTTAAAGAATTTTCTCAAAATAATAGACTGGTCTCTGTAAAAAATGAAATGTAAAATATTTGTTATTTCTTAGGGTTTCTTAAAAATTGTAAGTTGTAATAGCAATATACTATCACTGTGGGGGAAGAAAGTCAAATGTTCTTTCGAAAGCTCTCCTCTGCAATTCCTAAGAATGATATTATTGGTCAGCTTTTCATTTTAAGGTATAGGAGTAGGCTCTTAATATGCACTTTGTAAAGTGTTACAGGAATTAAGCCTCAACTTTTTTTTTTTTTTTTTAGTGGCCCTCAGATTCTCAAGAGGTTGAGTCTAAGGAACATTCAGCTGGCTCTCAATTTGTAGGACTCATGGCAGTTCTTACAGCATGTTTTTCAAGTGGCTTTGCTGGAGTTTACTTTGAGAAAATCTTAAAAGAAACAAAACAATCAGTGTGGATAAGAAATATTCAACTTGGTAGGTTTCAGATTTTTTTAATATTGTTTTTAAAAGTGATTTAAAGATTTCTATACATCTTTAAATAAATAATCCTTGCATAAACCTGTGTATCCAAATAGCTGGCAATGTTTTTATCTTTTTAAAAAATATATTTTAAATGAATGCCTTTTATTCAGGAATATGAAATTTTAGGTCTGTGACATAAGGAAGTAGCTTGTTTCGGTCTTCGCCATTTGGAGTCTTACTAAATTTATCCTTTCTTGCTTCTTCTTTCCCAGAAGGTGTTGTTCATGACTTACAGATTTTACTCTTAGAAAAGGGAATTAAGGTACTTAGATGGAGGAAGTTTGAAATGATAAACTTTTCACCTCTATTTTAAAATTTTATATGCCTTTTTATTTCAAAATGTTATATTTTCGCTCTTAAATACTTAGGATTTTTCTAACTGAAGGTAAATAGTTTGAAAGAAAAAAAATTCCACACATTGAAGGATAGCCTTTGAACAAATATTTAACTCTTTGTAGTATTGTAATATTTAAACCCCCATGCAAAGATGCCATCATTTAGTATCCCTGGCATGCATTTATTTTTAATGATGATGCATAGAACTGCCCATATGCTGGGTCTGGTGGCTCACACCCATAATTCTAACACTTTAGGAGGCCAAAGTGGGAGGATTGCTTGAGGCCAAGAGTTTGAGATCAGCCTTAGCAACATAGCAAGACCCTGTTAGTACAAAAATTAGAAAAATTAGCTGGGTATGGTGGTATGAACATGATCTTAACTACTTGGGAGGCTGAGGCAGGAGGATGGTGTGAGCCTAGGAGTTTGGCCAGCCTGGTCAAGATAGGGAGAACTTGTTTGTCTCTGTAAACAAACAAACAAGCAAAACAACTCTGCTCATGTGAGAAACAGCTCATTTGCAGATTAATACGTTGTATTTTAAGCCTCTGTACTTGTGACTTTAGGACTTACCTTTGAAATCATTGTTGTTTTTTTTTTCTTTTCTGCCCATGTTAACTTTTATATACCATTTTACAGATGAGGAAACTGAAGTGCAGATAGTTTTTAATAACTTGTCCATGCTTACCCTACTCATTAGTTGTTGACACAGGATTTGAATCCAGGCAGTGTAGATCTGGTTACCAAGTCTCTCTGAATCAATGGTCATACAGGCCCCTCCAAGCCATACACAGTACATTGTGCCTGTATTTTAAGGCAGACCTTCCAAATTTGATTAAAGTCCATCCTTCCAGCTCTTTTCAAGTAATGAACCTTCATTTTATTACATAGGATTTAAGTTTCTCTATAGAATTTGTAGAAAGGTACCATTTTTTAAAAGAATAATCAATGTAAATATTTTTTTTTTCACAGAGCAATCGTGACACTTTATTTTTTTCATGTTCCCAAGATTGGGGAGACAATGTCTGGGAAACAAGCATGTTTCCAAATCTTGCTGCCACTCTAGAGGTGACGATTTTGTCTCCTTCCCATTGTTCCCTCTTCCTGTCTGACGGGGGAGAAGGTCAGAAGTTATTGGTCAGGAGCCCTTCATGGTCTTCAGGGCTCCCTGAAGGTTATTGCTAAGGGAACCAATGTCAATATTTCTAAAGCAAAATTGTATTAGCTTCTTTAGTTTGCATAGAAAGCAAGTTCACAGGCTTGAGAAAATTTGAAGAAATTCATCATTTCAGAAAAGGTGTAATCTATAGCAGAGTAGTTAATACCTTGTTTTACAGTCAGGCACTCAAATCTTGATTTTATCACTTATGGCCTATGTGACCTTAGGGAAGCTACTTAATCTTTTTCTGCTTTTCCTTCTTCATCTATAAAATTTACTTAATTACAGTACTACCTTATGTGTTGCTGTGAAGATTAAATGAAGTTAGTATATTTGAAATCTTTAGAATAAGGTGACTTACACATAGTAAACACTAATAAATGTCAGCTATTTATATAAAATGCAGATATCAGAAAAAATATTTAAAGTATGTGAGTTGCATAAAATTTTCCCAACTTGTAAGATAAAAATGGAAGACAGTGATTCATGGTGCTTGATGGATTTCTTATTCTTGGTAACCTCATGGTGGAATGCTCATAGAAAAAATGGTAAGCTGACTTAAAGTTTTGAAAGGACACTAAAATAAGTGATAGACAACCTGAAAATATAATAACAGAAATTCAAACAATGGAATATTTTTCATATATCAAAGTATTAAATATTAACAATTGATAAGATCCAATTTTAGCCAGAAAATGGAGGAATAGTAGCTTTATTACCTATTGTTGCTGGGAATAAAGATTGATATAACTTTGTTAGATACAAATTTTGGGAATGTTGACCAAAATTTTAAATAAATATAGGCTTTGATATAAAAATTCCCAGTCTGACAAAAAGTTACCCTACAAGAACACAAAGATAGATGTCTAAGGTTATTTATTTTAGCATTGGTTAGAATTATAAAAAGTACAAAACATTTAGAGGACTGGTTACATAAATTATTTGTATATAATTAAATAATGTAGTGGTTAAGATCATGGACTCCAGAGCCACACTATCTGGCTTTAAATTCCAAGTCCCCTTACTTACCAGTATTATGAGATCAGGCCTGTTATTTAACTTCTCTGTGCTTCAGTTTCTTCCCCTATAAAATGGGCATAAAAATACCTACCTCATGGGTTTGTAGTGAGTTACATACAGAAAGCATTTAGAATAATTCCTGGCATGTGGTATTACACATGTATTGTCATTACTGTCATCCACACAAGGGATATTAAGCCATGGTTACAGTGCAGTAGGTCTGTTCATCCTGACATGTATGACATGTATGTGTCCTTCTGTACTGTACACCTTTTTAAGTAATTATCAAGTGTTACTTTTATAAATTAAAAATATTTAATATCCCCATAAATGTCTTCTGTAATTACAATGATCTCCCTATTATGTGTTATCCATGGGGAATGGTAGATTCTGAGATAAATTTAGTTTCTGGTTGTTTGAGAGTTACTATTAAAAAAGGGCGTAGGCTCGGCGTCTGTGGCTCAAGCGGTTAAGGTGCCAGCCACATACACCTAAGGTGGTGGGTTCGAATCCCCAGCCCGGGCCCGCCAAACAACAATGATGGCTGCAACCAAAAAATGGCCAGAAGTTGTGGCAGGCGCCTGTAGTCCCAGCTACTTGGGAGGCTGAGGCAGGAGACTTGCTTGAGCCCAGGAGTTGGAGGTTGTTGTGAGCTGTGATGCCATGGCACTTTACCCAAGGGGATAGCTTGAGGCTCTGTCTCAAAAAAAAAAAAAAAAAAAAAAGGGCCTAACTAACTCTATACCTCATACTATACCATACCATCTCTTGCCATAAACTCTGTACTTGATATTAATATTGAAATACACTAATTAAAAAAAGATAAACTTATTTACTGTAACATAGTTTTACTCTGTTATACCAATATGTGTATACAGAAACCAAATATCACAGAATTAGGTTATCTCACAGCATTAAGCGTACAACATTTACATAAATGGGTATAGGATACCAAGCTTTTGGGACTACACATTCCAGTAAGCCATATCACAGTACTATTCCATTATTCAACCCCACATCAATAGAGGCACAGCAGCAAGGCAGTGCAGTATATGTACAGTATGACCAGTTAGAAGTCCAATGATAGTCAAATATCTATACCTGGACTGCATAATCCAAATGTCCCATCAAAAGCACAGGGCAGTATAATGTCAACTGTAGAAAGTCCATACCCAATGGTGAACTAGCCAAGAAAGCAGTAGAGATCCTACATACGGATGCATCTGGGTTCTGAGAATACACAGGAGCTGTGGGAGTGACACACGAAGTGTTGGCTCAGTGATGGCATGGCGCACCACATTTAAACTCTGATTTTTCAGAACAGGTTGTGTGGTGGTTGCTTGAGTTCCAAATGTTGGGAAGTTTACTGTAATCTGGCCTGTAATTACAAAAGGAATAAGGATAGATATAAATGAAATTTTAGAGGATTCTCATCCTTTTTAGTTCTTTTTCATGATGGAATACTGTGATTAGTTAAGCCTTTAGTTTTTTAAACAATTGCTTTCCCCCTGTATTCTTTGCATGTATTATTTCAAAGACTATTCATAAGAGGTGGCTCCTATAGGCATGCATTTCTTCACAGCCTAGCAGAACTCCTAGAAATCTCTCTTAGATCCTAGTCACGTGGTAGTCTATGTTGTAGAGGTGAGAGAGTCGATAGTAAAGATGTAATTTCTGCTCTCACTGAATTGGCTTTCCCTGAAGTGAGACTTCAATAACACAGATTCTGATGTTGCCTATGACTATTAGCCCTAGTTTTTTGTATATTAAATTATTGTACTTTTAAAACTTCTTAGTAAGGAAAAATACTATGTCAAATGCCTGAGCTTTTATATTTGCATATGTGACTATATGAAAATCTGGACCTAGCAATAGGAAATATAAGATACAATGACATATGCCAAAATCGAGCATTTTACAAATATTAGAGCCATGTGATCATGTATTTTATGCATTATATTTTTAGTGTTCCAAAGTTGGTAATTTCTGTTCTTTTTTATATTCTGTATCTTTATCTTTTTATATCCATATGTCTTTGTCTTATATTTACAATATAGTATTAAAGTATACTTTTATAGGTAAGTTTATATAAACCAAGTAAAAATTTTAAAGAGTAGTCAAATTATATCATTATTTAGAATATCAGAGGAAAAATATCTTTTCAAACAAGCTAACTGATGTGTGATGCAGATTTTATATTTTTTTTAGGTTTCTTTGGGAGTATATTTGGATTAATGGGCGTATACATTTATGATGGAGAACTGGTATCAAAGAATGGATTTTTCCAGGGGTATAACCAACTGACCTGGATAGTAGTTGTTCTTCAGGTAAAGCATTTTAAAGTCTTGTATTTAATGCTCATAAACTTTATTTAAATATAGAGAATCGGCTCGGCGCCTATAGCTCAACCAGCTGAGGTGCCAGCCATGTACACCTAAGGTGGCGGGTTTGAATCCCCAGCCCGGACCCGCCAAACAACAATGATGGCTGCAACCAAAAAATAGCCAGGCGTTGTGGTGGGCGCCTGTGGTCCCAGCTACTTGGGAGGCGGAGGCAGGAGACTCGCTTGAGCCCAGGAGTTGGAGGTTGCTGTGAGCTGAAATGCCACGGCACTCTACCTAGGGGGACAGCTTGAGGCTCTGTCTCAAAAAAAAAAAAATAAATAAATAAATAAATAAATATAGAGAATCAAAGTAATTACTGATATGTGAGGGAAAAATACCCCTCCTGTTAGTATTCTCATTATATCTAGTTTATTTAAGAAAGTTAAAATAGAATTGGTCTTAATGGCCCAGTGAAATCTTACTTTGAAAGGGGTCTTGAATATGCATTGTTGTATTTAAATTGAACTCAATGAAAATACAAGTTTAAGAATAAAATAGTGGAAACTAAGGGCAAATGCAACTTTTGATTTTTCTAAAACTCCTATCATTGTACAGGAAATCTATCATTCAGCCATTAAGACCCAACATATGGTCTTAGACATTTAATCTGTGGCAGTTGATAGCCTCATATTGTAGTCACATATGGGACTATTCCTGTGAAATTACTTCAGTTCATATGTAACTTGAAATCAAGGATAAAGTAATTCGTTTCATCTTTTAAAAATACTTAATGAGTATTCTAGTATTCTGCATATAAAAATGCAGATACAAATGACTGCCCTCAGAGCCTTTGTCTATTCTCCTTGAGATACCCAAAGCCTAAAGGAGCAAGGTTCCAGAGCACAGGTGAAGGTAACAAAGGATAGTTGTGTTTTGAAAGCGTGAAGGATACTTCTATTTTTAAGAGGAGAAAAGGAGACAGGATAGGTGAAAATTTGAAAAAAATAAATATTTTAGAGAAAATTTGAAGTGGAGACAAGATAAGTCAAGAGAGTTTATGTGTAATGTATTTTATCCTAACAAAGAGAGGAAACCATTTTCCCTTAATAAGGGACTGAAGACATGAGCAAAATAAACAAGGTTTGACATAACTGGTACAAGGAATGCAATAGAGAATAAACAGATGAATGGCAATATTGCCAAGAAATACTGGGACCCAAACTTTAATTCGTAGTGAGCTCAATTGGCATAAATTCATGACTTTTGGTAAATAAAGCTCCCATCACAGAAGAGGTGCAGTGAAAGTCATTAAGGCAGGTAACCCAGATTTGGAAACTGATAAGTAGTGTGGCAGAAAGCAAAACTATGTAGTATAGAATATTAAAGTAGCCATAATTTGGAATTTGCAAGGGGGTTGGGTAGAAACTTCTTTCTACACCCTTAAAAAATAAGCGTGATTAGGGGCAGTGCCTGTGGCTCAAAGGAGTAGGGCACTGGCCCCATATACCAGAGGTGGCGGGTTCAAACCTGGCCCCTGCCAAAAACTGCAAAAAAAAAAAAAAAAAAAGCATGATTAAAAACTGTGCTTTAGGAGAGTAATCTGACAACAATGAGAGGTGAATTAGATTGGGGAGAAACTAGAGGAAGAAAGACAAGTTAGGAGGCTATTGAAAGGCTAGTAAAATAACTTTTGAGTTGCTTTCTTTTACTTAAAAGTAAAAATATTTCACTATCCCACATTGTCTAGCCAAGTGATGTTTAATTATTAAATTGGATGAGGATAGATGTTTTATTTATAATATGATCAAACTCCATTGCAGGTATAATAAACTGCAGATTGCCCTAGTAGTTACTTTATTAAGGTATACTTTGAAATAAGAGGCCTATTGATAGGCATGATAGAAATGTAGAAAATTTAAAAAGAGGGCTGTTGAACAAAGCCTAGAAGTCTGTTCCTTATAAGAGATGTTTAACAGAAATCACTGGGATTGAATTTATGGAACAAAAGCCTAAAGCGTCGTTAAATAGTGAAATTGTTTGTAAGGCAATTTTATATGTTTGGTTTTAAAAATAATCCTTTAAAACTTCTGCAGGCACTTGGAGGCCTTGTTATAGCTGCTGTTATTAAGTATGCGGATAATATTTTAAAAGGATTTGCAACCTCTTTATCCATAATATTATCAACACTGATATCCTATTTTTGGCTACAAGATTTTGTGCCAACCAGGTAAAATACTCTTTTCTATTTTTTTAAATCCCCAAGAGTATATACAAAAATAAGAATTCTTCATAAGGTGATATGACAAATTTTGTTTCATTGCAACTTTTGAAGAACCATTGAAATGTAACTTAAAAATTCATTTAACTGTCTTTTCAAAAAGATGTCACACTAAATGCATGAAAGATAATCTTCTCCTGGGAAGTTTTTTATATAAATTTGTCTAGACAGATTTTTGGCAGTAGGACTGAATGTTTTATTCCAAAGTCAATAGTCATGTAAAAAAGTTAATATCACATAAAATCATAAAATAAGTCATACGATAGCATTTTTAATATAGAATTTACATAACTAAAGCCAGGTGAGTAGATTCTTGAAGACGATAGTTTATATAGAAAAGGTAGCTTATGATTAAGTGATATGGTCATGCAATGAAGTGACAGTTTGAAAAGGAATTTTGAAGGAGTGATCAATAGGTAAGACAGGAGACTTGGGACTATAGTGTTATTGACGCCAAGAGAGGACAGAATCTGGAGGAATTAAGTGCAGTGAATACCCTGTACAGATGGGATCGAAGGTTCTTCTTCTTTTTGTACAGTTATTAATTTATAATCCCAAACAGTGGGATTATATTATTTTAATTGCTTCCAGGACACCATTCTTGGTCTTCCTCCAACTTTACTCACTTCCTGATTTTTTTAATGTCTGAACTTTGGAGTCTCCCAAAGATCTTTTATCTACACTCATTCTCTTAGGTGCTCTCTATTCTCATGGCTTTAAATACCATCTACCTGCTAACAGTTCTCATTTAAATTTGAATTCCAGGTTTGTGTGCCTAACTCTAACGTCTACTAGGTAACTCATTCCCTGTTCCTGACTGGTTTACTCGGTTCAGTAAATGGCACCATCCTTGGCTTAGATAGGAATACAGTTAATCCACAGAAACACAATTTAGATAGGGATATCGATAGGTCTGTAAGAGGTTAAAATGTTTGAAAGTTTTTTATTTTCTGAGTGCGGTAAGAAGTAAGGTCTTCAGCTTCTCCCATATGTCTTTCTAACCCAGAGACAACCTGTCAGCTTTTCCTTTTTAACATCTCTGAGTTAGAACATTTCTTACAACCTCTCCTGTTACCACCCAGGCTACCTCATTCTTATCTGGATTAAGGAACTAGTTACCTGACTTGTCTCTTTGCTTCTTCTCTTGCCTTGTACCTCTAGTTTTCTCTGTTCAGCAACTAGAATGATTCTTTTCAGTATAAATCAGATCATATCACTACTCTGGCTCAGAAATGTTCTCATTGCTGTTGCTCACTCAGAATTTGTCATTGGTCAATGGCCTCTTTATCTTCTTGGAATACTCGTTTCCTGCTTATATTTTTATGGCATATCCTCTTACTTCCTCAAGACTTAGGTCAAAGAGATTACCCTAAATAAAAGAGTATCCCCCTCTATTCCAACCTTTTCTTTCCTCCTTTCTTCAGAAAATTTATCACTATCTTGTAAGTAAGGAAGGCTGGTGCTTGGCACCTAATGGGTACGCAGTATGTTTGTTAGTGAATGTTCAAGATTTTGAAATTTTAATATAGCTAGTAAAATTCATTTGAGTTTTTGAAGGGATTATGCGTGGAATTTGGTAGTAGAAAAATATAATGATTTTTCTATATTTGACATTTATGGCTTAAATCCTTTTCTGGCAATCTGAATAATAGGTCTGGGACATGCATGTTGAGATCTCTAATTTTTATGAGACAAAATTTTAAAGTATTTCTGTTTTTAGCATGGTATGAGAATGAATCACTTAGCATGTGAGACTAGCCTAACAACACCTATGTCTTGATGCTTTATTTCTTGTTCATTAGATAAGGAAATAATTTGCTTTAATTTGAATATTTTGAACATGCATATTTTTAGGGAACTCTTTTTTTAAAAAAAATTAAACCTCATATAAGGCTGAAGTAATTAAGTGTTTGAATTATTTGGGAAACAAACAAATAAACCAGTAAAAGAACAAAAAAATAGTTTTTAATAAGGTATATACTGCATGTAAATGCATGTTTCTGAGGGAATGTGTTAGGTATATTGGGATGAAGATAAGAAAAGACAATGATACTATTATTATTTAATGAATGAATGAATTTTTTAATTAAATGATAGCTGTGTACATTAATGCAATCATGGGGTACCGTGTGGTGTTTTCATATACAATTTGAAATATTTTCATCAAACTGGTTAACATAGCCTTTGTGTCATTTTCTTAGTTACTGTGTTAAGACATTCATATTCTACTCTTAGAAAGATTCACTTGTACCCTTGTAAGATAAACCATAGAAGTGATAGCTCCAATCACCATCCCTCCACCTATCTCCCCTCCCCTGCCCCTCCCTGAATGAATGTTTTAAGAATATTACCAGATGGATATGATGGATTGTTTTTCCTAAAATAGATAGCTAAACCCTCTATCTTTTTGCAAATTTGCTCTTGTGAAGAATCCAATTTTTTTTCAGAATTGCAGAAATTTGATTATGTTATAATATTCTTTAATGAGAGCAATTATTTATGTGAGGGAGAGTACAGAAAATAGATTTATGACTGAATTAGCCTTGTCCTTGATTACAGAGATTTATGAATTACACACATGACATTATTGCCTACAGTAGTTCCTGAAGGTCTAAGAGTCTGTGAACTTGGAAGAGCTTCTTCCTGTCAGGCTGCTTCCCATGAGATCACAAGACAGGATGGACATATTTTTCTCTTGTGAATTTAAATCTTTGTAGCAGTTCGAATGCTTTCCCCTGAATGCATGACTTCAAAGGCTTTGTTAATTTTGTCAAAAGACAGATTGAGAGTCAGAAATTCATCCACTTTTATCTTTTTGGACATGTATTCAGACACCAACTTTGGAGCACTTTCTACACTCTTCCATCCTCCAAAGTTGTACAACCTGTAACCAGCTGGAACGGACGGGTAGATATCTCTTCACCTGAAACAGCTACTCCAACCACCACATGGATGCCCCACCTTTGTGGCACGCCTCAAGTGCTGCTCTTGTGACCTTCACGTTACCAATACACTCAAAGGAATAGTCCATCCCCTCCATCATTCATCCCAGCAAGCACCTCCTGGGTAGATTTACTGAAATCCTGGGGGTTAACACATTCAGAGACTCCAAACTCTTTGGCCTTTGCAAATTTATTTTTATTGATGTCCATGCTAATGATCCAACATGCACCAACCACTTTACAGCCCATGATCACAGCCAGTTGAACTCCTCCCAGGCCAAAGATGGCACAAGTAGAGCCAGGCTCCCCCTTAGCAGTGTTCACAGCAGTGCCATAACCAGTTGAAATGCCACAACCCAGAAGGCAGACTTTATCCAAAGGTGCTAAAGGATCTGTTTTAGCAACAGAGATATCAGTCACAACTGTATATTCAGAAAAGGAGCTGGTTCCCATGTAATATAACATTGTCTTTCCTTTGTAAGTAAATCTGCTAGTACAATCTGGCATTAATCCTTTCCCTTGAGTGACTCTTACCTTCTGGCAAAAATTTGTTTTAGGATTAAAACAAAATTTGCATTCTCCACACTGTGGGACACAAAGTGGGATGACTGTATCACCTGCCTTCAGCTTAGTAACCCCGTCGCCAATACTTTCTACGATTCCCAGCACCTTCATGTCCCAAGATCACTAGGAAATACCCAGTGGATCAGCTCCACTCAGCGTGTAGGCATCAGTGGACAAACTACAGTGGCAATGATCTTAATTCAAACTTCATGAGCCTTTGGGGGTGCCACCTCTATCTCCTCTATGGAGAGAGGCTTTCCAGCCTTCTAGGCAACTGCAGCCTTGCACTTGATAACCTGGTGAGCCATATCCACGGGTTCAGGTCTGCCTGACGGGGATACCCAGGGAGGGCCATGATGGGGCAGGTTGGTTTTTTTTTTGAGACAGAGTCTCACTTGGTAGACTCAAACTCTTGGGCTTAAACAATTCTCTTGACTCAACCTCCCAAGTAACTGGGACTGCAGGCACCTGTGATAACACCCGGCTATTTTTTGTTGTTGTTGTTGTTGCTATTGTGGTTGTTTAGCAGGCCTGGGCTGGGTATGAACCTGTCAGCCCTGGTATATGTGGCTGAGGCCCTAACCACTGAGCTATGGGCAATGAGCCTGAAGAATACATTTTAAGCAATAAATCTTTATTTGACTCTCTTCCAAATGTAATAATATATTTGCCTTTGTTATCTCCATTCTACCTCCTGAAACAGCTTCTTTGTCTTCTCTGAAGTGGTGTGCCTGTACCTATCTTTCTGATTGTCTCTTTGGTAGTTAATCAACCATTGCGCCCTTCCTTGGCCATCTCATTCACTGCCATGTTTTATCTATCCTCTTTATGAAGATAAGTCCCAATTTTACCTAGACTCTAAATCCCTATATTTTACTGACCTCTAGACATCTCTACTGATATCTTGTTTGTTACCAGTACTCACTTTCCTAACTTATTTTTCTTGTGCTCACTATTTTCTTTATTAGTATTATCATCCTTCCAAATAGGCTTGTTTATTCTTTAATCAGAGGTTCCATACGTGTCCTCTAGGTGCCTGCCAGTCACTGTGCTAGATCCAGGGAAAAAAGGAGAGCGTGAATGAGACACAATTTCCTATCTCTCTTCAATCACAGTGATTGGAGAGACACTTGAATAAATAAGGTATAACAAGATGATCAATATAGCAATGGAAATATATATTTAACTCTGTTAGAGGGAGCTCAAATCTTTCAACTAATTATTGAATTCTGATAGTTTTTTCCTAATGTCCTCTTTTCTAACAAAATCTTTTCTCTCCCAGCCATTTAAAAATTGCAGGGATTCCTGACATTACTAGATATTCAAGTAGATCTTTTTAGATCAGAGAAGGGACTCTTGCAGAGGGTGGAAAGTTGGATCAGACAGCTTTCAGTTGAGCATGAACTTTCAGTCTGTGCTGTTCCTGATGAGTTCAGAAAGCTAAGAAAAGTTCATAATGATTGACGAAGAAGCTTCTATAATTGCCAGATATTTCTATGGTGGTAATTTCTTCAAGATATAGTAAGTTTTATGTTATCATAATCTTATGTGTATGACTGAAAAGTTAACTATTTCCATCAAGTCAACACTCGTTTTTAATCATAACAAATAATTATGGAGCTCCTTATAAATGCTTGGCTCTGGGGGTATAATAATGAATGAAGAGTACATGGTTGGGCAGAGGAGCAGACATGTGAATAGTGCATCATTTACTAAAAGTGTGATAAGTGTTATGATAAAGTAACACTACCTATGGGAATGAATTTGGAGACATTATACCTGAGTTGTTATGAGTAAGCATTTTCTTGAAAGAAAGGACATTGTAGACAGTGGGAACAGCATCCATAAAGACACTGTTGTGAGTGGGCATATTGTGTTTACTGAGAAGAATATCTGAATTATAGGTTGGGTGGAAGTAAGGGGGAATTTGGTTGGAGGGACCATATTATGAAGGGCCTTTTATGTCATAGTAAGGATTAATGATCTTTTTCTTTTGCAGAACAAAAAAAATTTTTTAAATTAGGAGAATGACTTTGAACTGTTAATAGAAACTTTAAAACCAAGACCAATTCATGTCTCCGTAATAGCATTTTAAAAAATGCATATGTTAAAAAATTAAGAGTGCTAGTCTAGTTAGCATACAGTCCAAGTTTACTTCCAGTTTAGTAGGGTAGATTATATATACAGATAAATAAAATAAAGAAGAAACCAAGACCTTCCATCATTTAATGTAATTTCCTTTTATAAAGCATTCTGTAAAAATCAGTCCTGAGGGCTGGGCGCCTGTGGCTCAAGTGGCTAAGGTGCCAGCCACATACACCTAAGGTGGCGGGTTCGAATCCAGCCCAGGCCCTCCAAGCAACAATGATGGCTGCAACCAAAAAAAAATAGCCAAGCGTTGTGGCGGGCACCTGTGGTTCCAGCTACTTGGGAGGCTGAGGCAGGAGACTCGCTTGAGCCCAGGAGATGGAGGTGGCTGTGAGCTATGCCACAGCACTCTACCCAGGGGGACAGCTTGAGGCTCTGTCTCAAAAAAAAAAAAAAAATCAGTCCTGAGATCTGCTTATTACTGCCTTGGATTTTAAAGTGACTTAACCTTGATTTGACATGGAAGAATGAAATTTTCCTTTTATATTTTCAATTATTTAAAGAATTAAGACTTTTTATCATCAAATGTATTTATGGAAAATGTACATTAAGGTGAAAAACAGCATTTAAAACATCTTTGTTTTGGGACACAATGCAGTACAATGGAAGAAAGGCCCTAGAGTCAGACATACATGGATTTGAATCCTGTTTTCCAGTTAAAGTTATGGGATTTTATTTTATTTATTTTAAGTTTTTTTTAAATTAAGTCATATACATAGAGATCATGAATACATTTATGCATATGTGGGGTACATTGTGTTTTTTTTATACAATTTGATGTGCTTGCATCAAACTAATTAACACAGCTTTCACTTCATTTACTTGATTATTGTGTTAAGACATTTATGTTCTACACTTGATAGATTTGACTTGGGATTTAGAAAATTATATTCTTTAAACCTATTTCTTCATATATAAAAAATTATGATAATACTAGTACCATCGTCATAGGATTGTTGTGAGAATGCAGTGAGATAATGCATGTAAAATACTTAGCTGAATACCAGGAATTTAGTCATTACTCAATATTTGTTACCCATCTTACTGAGACATTTCCCCTCAAATTATGATTGTTATAGTAAAAAAATAGAAAGAACTTGCTTTGCTTTTAATCTGATTTTCTCTTTTTCTGTTTTTTTTTTTTATCTTATTTAGTGTCTTTTTCCTTGGAGCCATCCTTGTAATAACAGCTACTTTCTTATACGGTTACGATCCCAAACCTGCAGGAAATCTCACTAAAGCATAGTTGCATACTGTCTTTAACTGGTTTTCCACGATGGTGCACTAAGAATCTCAATGTTGACCTTGCACAGAGAACTCCTACAGAATCTGTGAAGATACCATCATGCTGAATTTGATCATGTTTAAAAATACAAAAGTTTAAGGCTAAAATATGTATATATGTAACACAAAACATGGCATCTAGAAATCAAAACTTGAAAGTATTTCCAGGGATTAGAAATATTAGAGTAAACTTGAAATTTGAAGTTTAAAAAGATTATACCTTTTTGATTGCTGCAGAAATATACTATGCACTCTTTGCAAGAGCACACAATTCAGATATCAATTTTTGCAAATTAGATCTATTCTATCAGATATTTTTATCTTATTCTTTCTGTATAGATATAGCAAACCACATAGAAAATCAAAGTTTGAAAATTGTAATTACCTGTAAATCTGTGAAAAATAGAAGTATGATTTGAAAAAACATTTTCACGTACCTTAGGTTTTTATATTTATAGAAAAGTTTACTAAACAAAGAATTGCTAAATTTTTTGTTCAACTACATAAAAATGGATAAAGTAATATTCTGGGTCTGATATGACAGAGAATAAAATTCATATTTAAATTTATTGTAGAGATACACACATCTTTTTCTCCATATACATTTTAAGACCTTTTAGTGTTTCAAGACTCCTGTGCTAGTTAGTAGCCAGTGACTTTTGCATTAATTGAGTCTTGCCTTTAATCTCTTAACTGCATTTCTTTTATATAAATCAGATAAGTCCTTAGTATTACTTTAAATTAAATTTGTGTATGTATTAATTGCCATTAAAGTTTTAAAAGTAATTTAAAGGAGTTAAATACTCATTTAATAATTTAAAATAAAATAATTATTGTCTAATATCTCCATTTGGAGAATTTTGAACTATCAAGCATATGTTGTATATAACTAGAAAATTTTTAAATGAATATTCATTGATCTGTAATAACTTCCTTTAATCTATAACTATTGATAAAACAACAACCAAATAATAGTATAGATGTCAGTGGACTGAGACCAAAATGACTTTTCTTGGAGACATTCCAGATTGCTGTATTACATTGTTTTAAATAGTGCTATAAATTTAAATTCAAGGCTGCTCAGAAGAACTTTTTAAGCTTATCATAATTCCAATGTTCCAGTACTACTATGATCACATGACTAAGATTTTTTTTTTTTTTTTTTTTTTTTTTGAGACAGAGTCTCACTTTGTCACCCTCAGTAGAATGTTGTGGTGTCAGCTCACAGCAACCTCAAACTCTTGGGTTCAAGCAATTCTCTTGCCTCACCCTCCTGAGTAGCTGGGACTACAGGAGCCTGCAACACCACCTGGCTATTTTTAGATAGAGATGGGGTCTCACCCTTGCTCAGGTTAGTCTCAAACTCTTGAGCTCAAATGAATGCTAGGATTACAGGTATGAGCCACAGCACCCAGCCTTGAATTAGCCAAATTCTGAGTTCCCTTTTTGTGTCGCCATAAGAGTTGCTGGGAAGGAGCCACCATTTTGCTTTAAAATAGTGGGAGGAGGGAGTTCTTTTTGATTAACACTGGAGCTGAGGATGCAAATTACATGAGTTATTTAATAAGTTGTTTCAAGGGAGAGAGAATATATTAGAAATGGTAAGATGATTTGGTGGGCAAAAAATGCTTTCTATGTTTGGAATATAGATTTAAATTATTGACTATAGGCAGAATTGCTTACTGAGTATAAGAAATATTTTACTTTATTTTTTTCATTGACATTGTTTATATTTTTAAAAGTCTGTTCTAGTAGATATAAAAACTGTAAAAGTAACTATTTTTATATAGTTCTAATGGACTTTGTTAGCAGAATTTGGCTCAAAAATAGTATATTACAAACTTTTGGATACTCTTGGCTAGTGTAAACTGGTGGTGTTACCATGCTACTGCAAACATAGCCTGCACATTGCAGGCCTGACCAATTCCACTCAGAGTTTAAAAAGTTTAAAATTACAAAATACTTAAAATCAGCTTTCTGGTGATTCCAAGCCAACTTTCTGGATGCTCTGCTTAGAATTTTCAGGAATCACCTTTTATAATATTTGCTTAATAATTTACCACATTGTGAGTATGGTGTTTTTAAATTGCAACAATATTCAGACTTATATCTTCTTACCTACTGCTAAGTGAAATCTAAACCCTGCAAATGCTTGGAATTCAAGACTAAATATTAATATAACAATTTATGTTCAGCTTACATTGAAGTATTGGTTGGGTTCTTATGTATTAATGCAGTGTGCATTCACGATTGTCAATTTTAACACTTTAAAAAAGTATAAGTAAATTATTGGATATTAGACATATAAGTTAAAGTAATAATGTATTTTCAGGTGTTCAAAATAACAAAATTTTCAAGATTCTTAACAAACATTATAAGAATGTAATCAAGGATTGTAAAAATGGACACAGTAGTCTAATGTATATTTTCAAGCTAATTTTATTAGGCATAATTTATATTTTGCTTTACCAGTGTGTTTGAAAATGTTTGTTAGAGATTGGGCTATGTAGTTTAATTTTTAATTCATAAAGAAGTAATCATATTTAAGAGGACAGTCCTGTGTCCTAGATCTTCTCCTGTATACAGATAATGCCATTTTCTTGTGTGTGTGGTGTGTGTTTTTATGACCTCCAAAGGCCTTACTGTATCAAGATTTTATAATGATGACTCCTTGATTATTTAAATTCCTATACTTGTTAAAGTTTATTATCTCTCAACTACTTTGTTCAATGTGAAAATATACTAATTCATGGGAGAAGAGTGTCAATTGATAGTTCTATTAAAATTCAGAATATGGTATTTGGGAAGAAAGGCAGTGAGTAGACGTTTCAACACAATAATGTTATCAGTTCTTTAAAAGTGATTTTAGATAAGTTGTAGGTTTCTTTTATAGTGGAATATGTAGTTTAGAGAAGCAAAACTTAATGTTTACATCAATTTATATTGAATGTCACAGAATTTCACAGTAGGAAAGGAAGTTTGATATTTAAATTAGATTCTAAGGAGTTAGCATCTGAAAGAAAACTAATTGACTTTGTGCTCTCTAGGCTTACTGTAATACTGACTTCTTACATATCAAATTATTGGACTTTAAAAATGCCTTTGTGTAGTCATTCCACTGACCTTTTTTTTTTTTTTTGAGACAGAGTCTCACTATGTCACCTTCGGTAGAGTGCTGTGACGTTGTAGCTCACAGAAAACTCAAACTCTTGGGCTTAAGCGATTCTCTTGCCATAGCCTCCTGAGTAGCTGGGACTACAGGTGCCCATCACAGGCCTGGCTATTTTTTGTTTGCAGTTGTCATTGTTGTTTAGCAGGCCTGGGCCAGGCTTGAATCTTCTAGCCTCGGTGTATGTGGCCAGCACCCTGCTCACTGAGATAACAGGCGCTGAGCTACCACTGACTTTTTGTTTAAAAAAAAAGCAACAGAATTCAGCATTACTCATTTATGCATTCATTGTTATAATATTTAATTACTATGAGTGTGTACTTTACACAGGAAAAGGTTTATTAAAGTTATTTATGCTATATTGAAAGTCATCTTTAGAATCTCCAGGATATTTAAAATAGTCAAAGGAACAAAAAAAAGTACCTTTATCAAAATCTGGTCCTTTGTGCCTTGCTTTACCAAATACCTGACTTTTCTGGAGGATATTTCTATAATCTACGACTTTAGACACATGGGCAAAATTAGAATGTTTAAAGAATAACTATAATTCTATTTTTTGGTTGTTTCAAGATTTGATCTTTAAATCCGTTATCTAACAAAATTAAAATAGATATACTGTAAAAACATTAGTGAACAGTACTTATTTAAATAATGGTAGCATCATTGCTCCATCATTGAGCATTTTGAAATTTTAACAATTGTATGAAACTGTCATTTTGTTGTTTTGTGGTTTCTTATTACAAGATATAATTTCCTTTAGTTTTTGAAATATTTTTTAAATGTTGAATCCTGAAGTTGTCTGTGTCTGTATTTCATTTGTTTAAAAAAGATTCCTTGGGTTTGTAAATGTGATTTTTATATTTAAATTTTTTATGGACATAATTCAAAGGAATGTATAAACTGGTCTTTTGTTAAATGGGTTTTAAATTGATAAATTTCTCGTCATTTTTGGGTACCCAATTATTACCTGTTTAATAGATGTGTTGAAATAGATTATTTTCTTAAATAACTCTACATAGATTTTTTTCTGTAGTTTCTTGTTTCCTCATTTACCTGTGTCATGACTTAACCCATGAATTAGTCTTCTCTCTTTATATATATAAAAGTGCATCACTGATCTTTTTCCTACCTCTCTAGTTAACTTTACCACGTGATCTTTGTTCCTGTTCTCTAAGCTATGCTCTTGCATGAAAGACTGGGTTTATTTAAACTAGTTAGAATTTCTTATATGATGATAACAGCCTAAAAGATTTTTGTTTTTAATAAAATATCTCTTTGCTAGCCTCAGGGTTAAGTAATTAGTAATTTGGTTTATATTTATAATTTGAATGTAATTGTTTCCGATTGTGACTGTCAATTCAATGCATAGAGATCAAATGTGATAAGCAATATACAGGAGTCTGTTCCCATTTCAACTACTTGAAGCAACCTTACACAAAATGCTTTCTCGAAAAGATCACTAAAATGGCAGCATTTTAAAAATGTATGTTTTTCTTTGGTAACTTTTCATCAGAAGCATTAACTGCAACCCCTTGATGTTCTTTTTGTATTAGAATACTTTTGTTGTTGAAAATATATCACACGCATTCATTGTTATAATATTTAATTACTATGAGTGTGTATTTTACACAGGAAAAGGTTTATAAAAGTTATTTATGCTATATTGAAAGTCATCTTTAGAATCTCCAGGATATTTAAAATAGTCATAGGAGCAAAAAAAAGAAAAAAGTAACTTTATCAAAATCTGGTTCTTTGTGCCTTGCTTTACCAAATACCTGACTTTTCAGGAGGATATTTCTATAATCCATGACTTTAGACACATGTGCAATTAGGTGTTTGGGCACACCCTTTGAGTGTGGGACATAACCACAGGAGAGACTCTACCTAACAAAATCAAACATTTTGACCTGGTTGTTTATATTCCTCACATTAACCTGAAATAAATTTACTTAAAAAAAATCACAATCTGCAAATCCCAATGCCCTACAAATATATTTTATACTTTGAATCTTATAGATAATATTGCCTTTCAACAGAGTCAGGTAGTGACCAGCATTAGTGATCATACTGATCTTTTCTTACTATTCTTACGAAAGAGAATTCTTTCAAAACAGGACAGACTATATACACATTCTAGAAAAGAAAATAGCAAGAGAAATAAATTGCCTTCAGTTACCTAACATTTGAGTTTCTACTGTAGTTAAGAGGGTTTGGATGATTGCAAATTCAAAAGTTTCCCAAGTCTACCCTCAGTTCTGACTAGAAAGACAGAACTGAAGGCAGTTATACTCAACATTCATTACAGGGTAAAGAAATATAAACTACAACCAGCCAGGGTGGTACCTGTGGCTCAAGGAGTAGGGCACCAGACCCATATGCCAGAGGTGGCAGGTTCAAACCCAGCCCCAGCCAAAATCTGTAACAACAACAAAAATAAATAAATAAACACATTCATTTAAAAAAGAAATATTAAAAAAAAAATTACAACCAGCCAGAAAAGGAGACATGTAAGGTAGGGACTAGGAAGGGTCCAAACTCAGACTTCTGATATTTTCTTCCTATAGTCATGGATTGTGTTGTCTACTTCTGGCCATAATGTGTGACAGTACCCACCAAGTATCGCCATTCAGTTAACAACGTGATCTCGAGCTTCACACTGTTATTGAGGTTTTACTTGTTGGCATGATTTATTGATTCTTTGCCCATGTGGTTGTACTCTCTCCAGCCCCAGCTGTTTCTGGAGCTCTAGC